AACAATAATAAGATTTATATAATATTAAATAATAACAAATATATAAATAATGTCAAAACTTGTAAAATTTATATTTTTTATATTGAAAAATTTAAATATCTATATATTTTTTATTTGATAAAACTTCATATTATTCTTTCCTTGAGTAATTCTTACACCTTTAATTCAAGTCAAAAGGATAAAACAATCAGTGGTTAGGATGAACAAAGAGAAGATGATGAACACCAAAGAGAAGAGAGGAGCTTGTGTTTGAGTAAGAATAATATTTTCTATAATGAGTGAGAGTGAAACTTTTTTAATTCTCTTTTTACAATTTTTAACTTTATATATTGTTTTTATGATTAATTGTATTACAATAAAATAATTATTTTTTTATTAATTAAACGGCTGTAGACTCGCCCACTTCATCCCATAGGTTGACCTTACGAATTTGCAGATTTGGTGGAGCGGGACAAAATAGACTGATGGACTGAAAATACCAAACTGTCCTACTATATTAAAGCATGTTGACAGACTGACTCACGGACTTAACCCATTTTACCATTCCTATTGAGTTGCTTCAATATGCCGCTTAAAAAAATGCTACCAAAATCAACTCATTCAAATTCTCTTTTGACAATTTTCTCAATATCTAATATTATAACCTTATCCTGTGAATAATCCATCTTATAAAACAAGGTATATGATCTCAAGAAACATCTCAATACATAGGTACCATGTTTTTTAAAGGTCCAAACCAATTCATACAGATACATTAAAAAAGAAGAAGTAAGGATTTCCATCTTGTAAAGTTATATCTTATCCACTTCCAGTTATCAACATTGGTAAATAACTCTACAAAAGTCAAACCATATAAATTTTATAAGAGTTTGAAAAACTTACACTATGTAATAATACTTATAAAAAAAATAAAAAATCTTAATTAAACCAAGTTCAAAATAGAAAAATGAACATTTACTTATTATGTAATATATTTATGTTAAGATTTACTTTTCTTGTATTTTATTTATAAAATAATGTTATACAAATTATATAATATTTAATTAAAAATTATATAATTATAAAATATTTTAATTTCTTCTTCATCTAATATATTTATATTTGCACATATTTCTATCTTATAAATAGCTTATACATATAAAAAAATAATATATTTTTTAATTTATATTTTTTAAGTTGACATTAGAATGAAAACGAGCTATGTTGCTACGAACATTATTAAACCACTCGTATCCTTGATATGAGAAGATATTTTCAAATTTAAATATCGTTCGTATCTTTAAGGTGAGAGAATGTATTAAAATCTCACATTAACTAATATATATAACTAAATTGTAATATAAGTGGAACACAAATCTTACCTTATGAGCTCATTTTATAGGATGGAGTAGGTCCATATTCACTTTCTAACATATGAAGACACAATGTATTCTATCTTTAAGTTTTATCTTTTAAAGGAACCAAGAATAAATCCAAAATTCAGATGACAAGGTTAAAAAATATAGTAATATGAATCTAAATGATATCATTTTATATTTAAAGGTATGCAAGTTGAGAAACTTTTATATAAGTTAATAAAATCCATACAAACAAATTTTGAAATGTTTATAAAATGTATGAAACCATTTGAATATCATCAAAATTAGGGATGACAAAATGTATAAATATGTATATTTTTTTTCTTTTTCTCATATTTTTATTATTTTTTTAAATATATAAATCATTTTGAATATTAAAAAAAATATAACCCTTTTATTATTTTCTCAAAAGAACAGTTAAAAAACAAATTTCATATATATATATATATATATATATATATATATATATAAATAAATAATTATAGACATACCCACTTTTTTTCTTTTCTCCGATATTTATATTTATAATAACTATTCTTTTTTATTAAATATGAAAATTTTGCTTTTTTCTCTAATAAAAAACAATTACAAAATAAATCTTCTATATATTTATATATGTATTTTGATTTTTAAATATATTATTTAAGTAAAATATGATAAATAAAAACGTCAAATGAATAATTTAATGTATCTTATATTTTTAATGTGAAATTATTTTATTAATTTAATTTAAATAATTAAGAAAAATAATTTTATAGTGATTGATATTTATAATTATAAATTAAAGCATATATTATTATTAAAAATACATTTAGATGTTAATACAAATTATGTTATTCATAAAAAATAATTAAAAATTATATGATTAATTTTAAGGTTAAATAAATGTATAGTTTTAATCTAAAAAACATTTTTTTAATATAAATTTTTCTTCAAATAATTTATTTTTCAACCTTTTTTTAATAAATAATATATATTAAAAGAAAGATTACTTAAATAAAATATATATTAATTTATTTATTTAAAAATTCTTGTTTATGGTTCCTAAAAAGTTTGTTTTTTCTTCTCATAAAATTTTTTATTTCTCCTTATTCATTTTTTTCCTATTATATTTTTTTTCTCTTTATTGTAATTAAACTACTCTATTGATACTTAATAAAAAGTATTAAAATAAAAATTTAAAAATCAACATTTAAATTAAAAATATCAATACATTTCCTGTACTACGAATCTTAAAAAAAGTATAAAATAAAAATATATAATATTAATTTTTTGAAGCAATTCAATGTTTGTTTTATTTCATTATTTTTTTAATAAATTTTAAAAAACTCATTCTCTTCTATTTTCTTCTTATTTATTTACTTTAGTTTATTTATTTTTAATTTTTTTAAGAAACAACTACTAACAAAATTTAAGTATTTTATCATATTATATTACCTTATTCCAATATTCCAATGTATACTTATTTTAAATAACTAATATTTTATTTAAAAAAATATGCTTTAATTATTTTAAGATTATAATGATAATAAATAATTTTATTTATTATGAGAGTGAATAAAATTATTTATGATGATATAAATAATTATTTTATCATAATAAATAATTATCCATTTAATTAAAAATATATATCAAATATTTATGAGTATATTCTAGTTATAATTAGGTTGAATTATGATAATGAGTTAGATTAAGTAATTTTAAAAAAATATTTATTTAAAAATTTACTTTAAAATAAATATTTTTTATTAATAATTATAAAATATATTCATTTGTAATATCTTAAACTTATCATATATAATTTTTTTAAATATAATATATTAAATTATAATATTTTTAAATTATATAAATATTTTTATTTTTAAAATAATAAAAACTCACTTTATCAAAATTTAATCTATTACATTTAAAAGAAAAGAATAATAAAATAAAATGAGATAATAAAAAAAGAAAAAAGAAAATAGATAATAAATGAAGACGTAACTAGGCATGGCAACTGGCGGGCGGGCGCGGGCGGGATGGGTTTTGCCTCCCCGATCCCCGCCTCCAACTTTTTGAACCATCCTCATCCCTGTTCCCGATCCCCGTCGGGGTTAAAAATTAAGTCTCCATCCTTGTTCCCGCTGGGTTTCGGGTTCCCCACCCCCGCCCGTCCCCGATCTATATTATTTTTAAAAAGATAATTACATTTATAATAAAATAATTTTATTATGTATTTTTTATATATAAATAAATATTTATAATTTTATAATTTTATAATTTATACTTATTATTAATTAAATATACATTTTAATTTATTATATTTATATTTCAAACATTTAATTATATATATATAAGTTAATTCATTTTTAAGTTGTCATTTAAAAATATGAAATATATAATTTATAAGAAAATATTTAATAAGTTAATTCTTATTTAATTAGTTCGAAGTAATAAAAGTTTAAATTATCAATTTCTTTTAATCATTTAAAATACAATTATTTTATTAAAATAAAATTTAATATATGATAAATAGAAATAATAAGATAAAAAAATATGACATAATATAACCTAATAAATAAAAATTATAAATAAAATAATATTAGTTACTATTAGGATTTATGTAAAATATTTAGAAAAAAATAAAGAAAAAAATTACTTTGTGTTCATCAAATTGATTGAAAAGATTAAAAAAATAAATAAATTGATGGGAGAAATTAAAGAAATGTAAAAAATAGACAGATAAGAGAGAATAATGTAATAAATTAATTGATATAAAAGATTAAAAAAGACAAAAAAATTAAAAGTGGGTAGAAGAAAAATAAAAATTGGTGAAATATTAAAAAAATAACCTTATATGTAATAGAAAAAGAAAAGAAAATACATTTAAAATATTAATATTTTAAATTTTAAATTTAAATATCAAGTCGAGGCGAGGACGGGGTGAGATCGGGATGGGGATTGCATTACATCCCCGCCCCGCCCCGACTTTTTAAAGCGAGGAAAACACGAACCCGCCCCGCCCCGATCAACTCGAGTTTTCCTCGTCAAACTCGGACTGAAACGATCCTCTACATGTACGAGTTTAATTGTCATCCTTATACATAATAAATAAGAGTACTAAAATAAATAATAAATAAAAATAGAACATATAATAATAACAAATAATAAATAATAAATGAAAAAAGAAGAATAATAAAATGAAGACAGTAACAAATAAGAGTAATAAAATAAATAATAAATGAAAATAGAACCTATAATAATAACAAGTAATAAATAATAAATGAAGAAAGAGAAAAATATAAATATAAATAAAAAAATGATAATGAAATAATTATATTATATAAAATAAATTTATTTATATAAATTTAGTTATTTTTTTTAAATATAACTTGTTCCGCACGGACTGAGTCACCTATAAAAACGGCGGAATCCGGCCATTGTTTTCCATGAAATCTAAAGCTCCTCTTTCCCTTTGTTCCTTTCTCCCAGTGTTTTTCTCAGAATCCCTTCATACAACACACCTTCTCTGAATAAATCAATCTCTTCATAATCCAAAACCTTCATCCCATTGAATTTTCTCACAACAAAAAATACCTCTTCTACCCTCATACAGAAGAACCCCAAAATTCACATCATCCATTGCCTTCCTCACCAAAAACAATGGGTATCCCCACCCTTATTGGCCCACCTGAACTCTACATCCCCAAAACCACTCCAATTGTAACCCAAATTGCCCCAACCCCAACTCCAATTGTAACCCAAATTGCCCCAACCCCAACCCCAACACCAACACCAACACCAGAAGTCACAAGCACCATTCCAAATGATCCCTTCATGGATCAAATGGTGTCCAAATTCAACACCATATCAACTGAACCACCCCCAAACATGACCCTTACGGAAAACTTGTCCCCAACATTTCTGACCACAGGGAACCCATGTCTGGACTTCTTCTTCCACGTGGTTCCCGACACCCCACCGGAGTTGCTCTTCCAAAGACTCGAACTTGCGTGGGCCCACGACCCCCTCACCACCCTAAAACTCGTCTGCAACCTCCGTGGCGTCCGCGGCACCGGCAAGTCCGACCGCCGGAACTTCTATGGCGCCGCGATCTGGCTCCACCGCCATCACCCCAAAACCCTCGCTGCCAACGTCCCCTCCCTCGCGGATTTTGGATACTTCAAGGACCTCCCCGAAATCCTCTACCTCCTCCTAGAAGGTTCCCAAGCCCGCCAAATTCAGAATGAAGCGTGGGAAATGAAAAAACGTGGGCCCGGCAAGATCATACCATATAAGACCCAGAAGAAGCGGAAGGGGGAGACGGAGGCTTTAGACCAAAGGATCGACGCGGCGAAGGTCAAAGAAATTGCGCATGTTGCTAGAGAAGAGAAAAGGGTGGCATTGGCGAAGAAGCTCGTCGATCGTTATACGAGCGACCCAGATTTCCGATCCCTTCACGATCGTGTCTCTGATTATTTTGCTGAGTGTTTGAGGGAGGATCTCGAGTTTTTGAAATCTGGGTCCGTGACAAAAGTCAGTCTTGCCGCGAAATGGTGTCCCTCTGTGGACTCATCTTTCGATCGTCACACTTTGTTGTGTGAAACTATTGCGAAGAGGATTTTTCCTCGTGAGGATTATAATGAGTATGAGGGGGTTGAGGAGGCACATTATGCTTACAGAGTTCGCGATCGGTTGAGGAAGGAGGTGTTGGTGCCTCTGAGGAAGGTATTGGAGTTGCCTGAAGTGTTCATAGGGGCCAATCGTTGGGATTTGATTCCTTACAATAGGGTTGCCTCTGTGGCTATGAAGTTTTATAAAGAGAAGTTTGTGAAGCATGATGGGGAGAGGTTTGGGGCTTACTTGTCGGATGTGAAGTCAGGGAAGAGTACTATTGCTGCTGGTGCTTTGCTTCCGCATGAGATCATAGATTCATTGAATGATAGCGATGGTGGGGAAGTGGCTGAATTGCAGTGGAAGAGGGTGGTGGATGATATGATGAAGAAAGGGAAGATGAAGAATTCTTTGGCTATTTGTGATGTCTCAGGGAGTATGTGGGGGCTGCCCATGAAGGTGTGTGTGGCATTGGGGTTGTTGGTGTCTGAGTTGTCTTTGGAGCCCTGGAAGGGGAAGGTTATGACTTTCGCTGCTGACCCTCATCTTCATTTGATCGAAGGGGATGATCTCAAGTCCAAGACTGAGTTTGTGGAGAATATGCAATGGGGGGGAAACACTGATTTTCAGAAGGTGTTTGATATCTTGTTGGAGGTGGCTGTGAGTGGGAATCTGAGGCCGGATCAGATGATAAAGAGGTTGTTTGTGTTCAGTGACATGGAGTTTGATGAAGCCTCAAGCAACCGTTGGGAGACTGATTACCAAGCAATCACTAGGAAGTTTGGGGAGAAAGGGTTCGGTGATGCTGTGCCTCAGATAGTTTTTTGGAATCTGAGATACTCCAAGGCCACCCCAGTGCCATGCACTCAGAAAGGAGTGGCACTGCTCAGTGGGTTTTCTAAGAATTTACTCACATTGTTCTTGGATAGGGAGGGGGAGCTCGACCCTGCAGAAACCATGGAATTAGCAATTGCTGGGCCTGCATATCAGAAACTAGTTGTACTGGATTAGTTAATTCTTATAAGTGTCTAAAAATGAAGCATCCTTTCATCTTCCATAACATGTAGCTATTTTATTTATATGAATAACTAATCTTCGAAACAGTCAACTAAGTGATATTCATGATGATTTCACTTTTATACGTCAATCTGAACGAACATGCAGTGAAGCTTTTTTATTAGATTTAGTAATCTCAATTTCTCATTCAGAGTATCTGTTGCCATACTCAAAAGGTTTTTCTGGTTGATGAAAGCAATGCAATTATGTAATCTAAATCAGTTTGATGATAGAGATGATAATAGGAAAATTACGTTATCATTCTTTAATGGGCCCGTACGAAGCATTCATGCATCATTTATTGATACAGTAATAATAAATTTAAAGGAACACCATTTATATAATGGACAACACTTGTGTCTTTGGTAATTGTCAAAGATAGTATAATTTCAAAGATGAAATTACCTCTTCCGACACTCACTTTCTTTAAATGCATTTTATAAACTATTTTTGCAAAGTAGTCGAAATAAAATTTCTCAAAATAAGAAAAAGTTGTTTACATGAATTTTAAACTATAATAATGACAACAATAAAAGTTACTTTATCCTCTGAACAACTTTATTTAAATTTTAAAACACGTATTTTTATAGTTCTTTTTATTTTCTTAAAAATGTTAATAAAAACACATTTATATGAACTATTTAGAATACCTCACATTTTTACACTTGCATTGTAGTTTTGTCTTTTATAAAAACTTAGTATAAGAAAACTATTCAAGTATGTGACGAAATTATCTGAAATCTGCAAAAGAAAGCGTGTGAGAGAGAATAATCATCAGAGTTAAATTTAAAAAGGAATATGTAGTAAAATTTTCATTCTAATAAAAAAAGTGAGATTGAAATACAAAACCATGTAAATTGATAACCTTTGATTGAAGAAGAGAAGGAGAAGAATGGAAGCTAAACCTGCAAGAGTTAGCATTGCTGGATGCAAATACTTGAAAATAATCAGAGATATAAAAATTGAAGAAATAAAATTTCCTTTTATGGGCGAAGGTCATTCTTCTAGTATTTAACGCAATTATATATCCAAAAGTCAAATTTGGCAAATAAGAGCAATTTAATACTAGTTGGTCATGTATTCAGTAATTCCCTCAATGTGTTTTAACCTCTTAACCCACCACTTAACTTTTGTAAATTAAAAATTGTAATGTTCATGTTGTGTCTGAAAAAATGAAAATAAATAATTTTAGAAAATAAAAATTCCTTTAAATAAAGTTAAATAGTTGAAAAATAAGTCAAATTAGTTACAGGTTGAATAAATATAAAATACAGCGAGTTGTTCTTTATTTACATGAGTATACAGAATGTTATATTGTATTAAAATTGAAAATCAGTGAATACTTTATTAAAACGTTTTTTTAAAGAATCAAAATTTTCAGACAACTTCTATAAATAATACTTATAATGTATTTGAAATAGTTGTCTAAATAAGATTGTTCCAAAATTTATACAAACAGTTAACTATTGGAAATTTTCTTTACTTCCCAAAATTTTAAACTATAGATCTTACCCTTTTTCGTCTTATGGTTAGAATTTTACGCTGGTGGTGCTGGTTATAGTCTATGTTATCCCATGAAAACCAACGGCAAAACCTCCGTAGTTTATTGTCTCCAGTGTTGAGGCACCTTACTATTTTGCTTTCAGTCTATCACAAACTTATTTTGGACCAATTTTTTGTTTTTAATTTATTTATAATTTTTTTTACTTTTTTGTTTTTAATTTATATATAATATAATTTTAATTTATGATAATTTTATTTCATTTTTCATATACTTTTAGAAGTTTATATGAAGAAAACAAATTGTTTTTATTTTCCCGGAATCGCATTTGGATTAATTTTTTATATATAATCATAATTAATATTATTTATACACAAAGAATAAACTTAAGTATAATACATAATAAATTACGTAAAGGTATTCAAAATACAAATTATTTAAAATTTGATCACACAAATTAATATAAGTATTAACTTTTTATTTTTTAATAAATTTATTAATTGGTTTTAATTAATATCTTATTGTTCTATATATTAATTAATATAGTGGAGTTGAAGTTAAAGGTTATTATATATTTTTTTTCACTAACCGATATGTTTTTAAAAATTAAATCATAAGATTCAAAGTGAATAATATTCTGAATGTAATAATAAACTCTAAAATATTATTATATGGTAGAATTATTCTCATTTCTAAATAAAACCATTATCAATAGTATAATCTCGTTTCATTTTATCTAGAGTTAACAAAATAGATAGTTATCAAGTCTAATTTATATTTTAAAACGGATAATAATTTTTAGTTTAACTTAACCTTATCTTAAACTAGCAGATGAACAAATTAATTTTAATCTGATTGAAAATAAAAAATTATATATATATATATATATATATATATATACCAAAATAATTAATTAAAAAATATTTAAATAAAAATACTTCAAAATTTAAACTATATTAATAAAATTAATTTTTATTTAATATATAATAATTTAATATAATATAAAAAATAATTCTATTTCAAAATAAAAATTAAAAACTTAGTCTTCTCATATTTTATTACAAGTTTTACGTTCATCCAATGGACTCAGAAGATATTTTTCAACCCAATGGTCAGCTAGCTGGTGGAGGTGGAGGCCATGGTAAGTACCACTGCATTTTTGGTTTTGAAAATAAAATAACTTTTTTTAAAATTATTTATTAAAATATTTAAATATTAATTATATGACATAATAAATTATTTTATCAAATAAATTATACAAATAAATAAAATAAATAAAAATATAAAAAATATATTTTTAAAATTTATTAAAAATTATTTGATGAAGTAAACTGATATAATACCATATATTTATATTTAATAATTTTTAAGTTGGGAAACAACTTCCGTGGAATGCTGTATTAAAAGTGCCTTCGAACACAAATTTCTTCGACAAAACAAGCTACAAGAACATTATTTTTTAGTATTTATTACTATTTAATATTATTATTATTATTATTATTGTTAATTTCTGATTAATTATTATTATTATTATTATTATTATTATTATTATTATTAATTTCTGGATGCATCAATCCAGCAAACTATCTGATACTTTTATGCTGGTAAATTTTTTAGTTACTTACTAATCCGAAAGTTAAAAAGAAAAATTCTTTATATATTTCGAATCGATTAATTTAAAATTCTCCCTGATCTATCTGGACCAAAAAAAATGTTTTTTTTTTAAATTACAAATTTTGTAGAACACACAAGATCATGTTTTTATTTATTTATTTTTTTAATAAACATGAGAGTGCGGGAAAAGACGCTAGTAAACTTGAACAGAGATCTCAGTCCTGATATATGGAACATTACGTAAGCATTGAATGAAACTAATACATGCATCCATGTTGTAATTGAAATATGGTACACAATTCTTGCATTCCTTTAAAACTCCCACTAGTGACTACAACGTGCACAAATGCAACAATGTTAGCTGAAAGACATGCATACACTATTTACATACAAATATGTGGCACTTACAAAACCCTATTCTTCTAGGGTTTACTTAACAAAACTAACAAAAAGAGTGAAAGAAACCAGCAAAACTTTGGGTACTAGTTACACAACCATACACCTAAAAAATGTGTATAATAAATAAAAGGAAGCTGCAGCTTCTATGCCATTGATCAATATGAATATATAAATCAATGACACGAGAAAAGAAGAATGATTTTGAGAGCTTTGAGCCCAGTAAAGGTTGGCGACGAAAAGAGTCGCTAGAAGATATCCTACCTACCTACAACCGAAGAATGGTTCGAAGTGTGTCAGAAAGATTTTGAATAGTTCGCTGCTCCTGGGTTGCTTGCAGCTCCTGCAGGGGCATATCCTCATAACACCTAATAACAAGCAAAACATTTAGGTAAAGAATAATAACATCACAATAGGAGAAGCTGAAAGGAATGACTAAATCAGATATCTCGAGCTCTAAAATTGTGTGCTTAATTGACACTCCCATGGGTAAAATCTGGTACAGTTCCCTATTTTCGCATTTGCACAAATAAAGGAATACAATTAATAGAAGTGGTAAAAGTTTTGCTGATTAAAAGTTGAAGAGACATACATCTTATGGTAAGCTAAAGCCTGCGCCAAATTCATTAGTGTAGAACTTGATGTCAATCTCTGGTATATGCTTGGAGGAAGAGGCATCTGCTGCATCAATTGGCAAACCAACATAAATGGTCATAAGAAGTGCACAGACAAGTGTACTGCATGTGTACGCACATTCGCACAACACACGAAGTTACCTCATTTAGTCCTCTCCGGCCCTTTTTGGATTGTCCATCACCACTAAAAAGCTCTTGCAATGCTTCCACTGTTCCGGTTCCACCAGTATCCTGTTGTAGGCCCCCAAGTACATTGTCTGACAAGAGAGCAATGGGTGATATATCTGTTGCCCTTAAAAATGGGATAGGCACAGTATTACCCGCAGCATAAATGGACCAAAGCTGCATTAACACAGAAATTGAAGTAAAAAAGTTAAGTCTAACACTGCAATCACTCAAGTACTCATGAAGCGGACAAAATATGCACAATTGATGGGACAATTCATTCAAGAAACGAAAAGGGCTAGAAATCTGCAAAACAATGGATGCAGGAAGATATACTTCTTGAAAAGCTTGTTAGTATCAACTCTAGTAACTAAAAACATGAAAGTTTGCTCAAACAGAGTGGTCTCCTACGGCATATTGTTTGACATCCTACATACAACTCAAATCACAAAAATACCTTATCTTGTAAAGCAAATGCTTTACGGCTGCTGGTTTCACTCTTGAATATATCTGCACCCATTCCAGCTGGTGCTCGATGACTACCTTTAATTTTGAGGCTCTGCTCAGTTGAATTACTAGCGTAAGGTAAAGCTGATTGAATAGAATTGGTAGTAGCACTAGATCCTCTAAAAGAGGCTGTGTACGTAAGATCAACTTTCTGACTCTCAATCCTAATAGATTATCCACAAAGAAAGCAAACTACATTAAGACATGCAAAATGAAAAGGAAAAGGGACAAACTACAATTTGCAAAGATAAGACTGTTTGAATTAAGAGTGAGAGTAAGAAAATGAAAGAAAATGCTTTCTTCAAAAATATAGGTAGAAAAGCTCAACAGAAAGGTAAGTACCCAGAGTCAGCCAATCTGCCTCCTGTGCCACTGGTTAGAGCAGATACGGAAACTGCATAATCTGCATCTTGTGTCTTCTGATGTAACTCATCTGCATGGACTATAACAGTGCCAAAGTTGCCTGCCAATAATCCATTTAAATCATAATATTCACCCACAAAATAAAACAATTAAAATAAAGGCTTCCATTCTCCAAGTTTTAAGAACTACACATTACCCTTCGTATGGATTGAAGGTTGAGAAAGGGTGGAATTTTGAATTTTTTGTTTCTACAGTTTTCTTTATTGCTGCATCTTACCTTTTCATTTTTCGTTTCAACCAAGCAAGAGAAAAATTAAAACATTTAAATTTTCCTTTCTCTATTTTCTCTCTCAATCGATATGCCAAGCAGATAAGAGGCAGATGGAAGAAAGTGAGATAAACAAACATTCATAGACACCATTAAAGAAACATGTCTAATAGTTATGACTTATAAGAGATTCTAAACCACATACATACACATGCACCACATATATTCTCGGTTATGTAACATTATGCGATAATCAAAATTGAGAAAACGTTCCCAATCCACTGACAAGATGCAAGAAACACAGACCTTCACTCGTGTCTACATCTTCAACCTTATGTAGTTTCCTCATAGTTCCATGTGATGAGAGATCAACAGCCCCCTCAACACCACCAATGTTATGAGGTCTGGATGGAACAGTGTCTCCATATTCATCATTTGGTTTTGAAACTAACTGGAGAAGAAAAGGAAAATTAGAAAATGTTAGTTATTTTAGGAAACATTCCATAACAGATTCACAATCAAGGATATGTACTTGAGCTTTTTCCTCTGATAGGAAACCCTCAGATTATTGAATTTGACTCAAGTTTCTTTACTTTTCTGTTAAGGTCATAAGTACATACATATAACGCATGCATGTATTATCAGAACAAGATTAATACTCCAGTCTTTAATATCTGAGACTAACATGTGATAGTTCAGATTAAGAACTTGTGTTATACATGGAAATTACATCTTTATTGAGTTTTACAATCTAGAAGGTAGACGGAACAAGTTGCGTCAATGTGAGAAAGGAAGGGAGAAATTTTTTGTCATACCTGGTCATCTGATGCTGCGGGAGCCATTTGCGCCTGCAAAGCCATTGAGGCCCTAATTTCTCTTGCCTTTTCTAATTTTGGCAACATTGCAGCAGATCCAGTTTTCCACTTTTCAAAGAATTTGTGCTACATAGCCATAGAAAATAATTTTTATTTGATGTGACATACAACATTGAAACAATTTCAATAATGCCATCACAACTAGAGAGGGGAAAGTGAAATTGGTTTGAAAACAAATGGAGGCATATGTCAGTAGTTTATAGTCACCTATTATAAGCAGCAGCCAAAATAAAGCTCATGCTTGATCAGCCATCACTCAAAGGTTAATTTCGTAATTCTAGATAACCAGTCTATGCTTTAGAATTAATTATTATTATTATTATACTTAACTAAGTATATGGTGTGTTGATGTTGAATTTTGAAAAACATTACATATTAATTCACATTTTGTTTATTATCGTTTTCTAGCCATAACAAGAATAAACTTATACACTTAGATTTAATAGGTGAAACTAAACAACATATCATATTGAAAAAAAAAGATGGGAAGGAAAATAAAATCAGTAATTTCCATCTTAATTGGTGGGTCTTGATCAATCAGATGAGGATTTCCATATCCATAACAAATTTACATACAACTCAAATCACAGGAACTTAATTACCAAACTCTAATTGTGTCAAGTTCGGGCATAAATAAATAGTTAAAAGTAAGTATATGATAGGATAAATCAAAATCTGTATTTGACAGTTGACAAGAGGGTGAGTCAGGTGCAAGATGAGATTGCAGCCCGTGATCTGCATAAACTTCTTTTTCAACTTATAGGGGTAAGGTTATGCACATCTAGGTGGGATCCTCAGTGCACTCTTTTTCTACTTATTGACTGGATAAACTTTTTGCAATATTTTTTGTAGCTATTTTATTTTATCACTGCTTGTGATGTTTCAACACTAAATCTAATATATAGCACTCTATGATACAAGCTGTTTTACTTACGTGAAATAATTGTATTCATAGCAAAATCCACTTTATTCCAAAGAAGGGTCGACACTTTTAAATATTAAAAATAAGTGAAATATATTTTGCTCCCTTGGGACTTCAGAGATGCATAAATTACAATTTCTTCCTGGTTTATTTTAAAAATTACATTATCCTCTTGCGCAATCAATGTTTTATACATCAAATCTGTTTTAATATAAACGACTGTTAGTGCTAATGAGCAAAGTTGACAAAATTGAAATCCATAATGTGAATAGAAGTTATATTTCTATAATGATAAATATTAAAATTCATGATCAATAATCTTAAAAGACATAAAAAAAAGTCCATTTATTGGTGTTTTAAAGTCAAATATATCAGTATATATATAGCTAATTAAGTGAAATACAAACTTCTAAATAATGAAAAAGAAAAAACTAACCACTCAAATTCAGCTCTATAACCCTAAAAATGTTTTTAAAATGCAGATATAATTTAATTAGGAATATAAAATTTATAATACCTATTAACTCCTTAAAAATTATTATTTTTTATAGACAAAATTATTATTTCTGTTTTTGCCATTACATCCCAGACACCAAATCACAAAAAGAAAAAATACTTTGACCCAAGCACAAGGTATAGAGCAATACCTACAAAAAAACACTACACACAGGGCATTCTGTCTACACTAGATCTCTACCATACTCAATCAACTTTATGTTTTAGTCTCAACAGGATCAAAAGAAAAATTATGGCCCATTATAAAGCTTATCCCCTCCTAAAAAATGAATGGCCAACTCCTCTGCAACTTGAACTGAATGAAAGTTGAATATGCTTGTAACCATCTATAATCTGACTTAGGTCATGGGAAGAAAAGATTTCATTACTTTCCGCATAATTTTAAAAAAATGTAAGAAAAACACAAAAATCATTTTTCTTCTTCAAAACAGGTTGAACAACCCCACCCGTTTTTGGCATGATCCAACTGCAAGAATCACTTGGTGCACATCATATTCACATGATTCAAGCTGCAACTAAAGTAAGAAATTTCATGTGATTTGTGTCATTTTGTATGATTATAACCACCACAGTGCTGAGCAACAAAGGGAAAATCACATGAAAATAGTTTTCTTTTCACATTCTAATGTCAACATCAACTAATTTCCAAGAATACTGATTTCACACTTTAGTAGATGAAATGATGATTTGAACACTTATACTGTTGGCTTTGAATCTTCAGCACAGATCTTTATTTCATCTTCTAAAGTCCAAAAGTTCCTATAAGAAATTCAAAACTAGCAGCTGTCTGGCTGGCCAATAATGCTTGAGAATCAGAAAAAGAGAAAAACTGGACCCCAAGAGGTTCATGTTCCATCAAAATAGACTAAATTGTAAAGGGAATGTAACTTTTAAAATAAGAGGGAAAGGTAATGCAGTTTAAGCATCTCACAAGTAAAAAGAAGTAAAAATAGTAAAATTTTTCTGTAAAAGTAAGCATACATTCAGAGAAGACTTCATACTTTAAATTAAATTCTTAAATTCTAAGCATAAAAAAGCAGTAAAATAAAAGCATAAAAATAATAAGCATCTCAACTTTCCATCTTGCAATTTTGCCATCATCAAGATATTGCTAATTCTCCGAAAATATTGATTTATTTCATCTCTTCTCTGCATTTCTCTCTTGTTCTCCTTTCCTTCTACTATTTTATATATATGAATAGCTTCAGAAAACCTTTACTCCTAATAGTTACTAAATTTTCATTAGAAACAATAATTTTAAGCATACCTTCAACATCTCAGATGCAGTAGGGCGAAGACGAGGTTCTTTTGTTAGGCACTTTGCAACAAAATCATGGAAATATAGGGACCTAAAGAGAAATTCAAATTAAAATCATTGTCTTATCCAGATGTCATCACTAAATAGAGACACTATCTCATACACCACCAAGATATCACATTGGCACCAGTAACATGAAAATAGGATGCTAGAGTCACTGCTAACAGGCCAAAAATATAATTTGGGCACTTTATGTTGCATTTTATACCACTATATTAGACAAAGAAAGCAACAACCTTGCCTTAACATGAAAATAGGATGTTGAGTCACTGCTAACAGGCAAAAAATATAATTTGGGCACTTTATGTTGCATTTTATACCACTAGATTAGACAAAGAAAGCAACAACCTTGCATTATTTTTTTTTCCTGGTAACATGAAAATAGGATGTTAGAGTCACTGCTAACAGGCAAAAAATATAATTTGGGCACTTTATGTTGCATTTTATACCACTAGATTATTAGACAAAGAAAGCAACAACCTTGCATTGTTTTTTCCTGCATTAAGATAAGAAATCTGATTAAGATGAAGAGAGGAAATTACATCAATTTGGGTACAAGGAGCCCATCCTCTGTAACTGCACCAACCTTTTATTCTTATACTTTACCATTTAAATGAATGTGCTATATTAACGGACTAGGACGTGGGAAGGAACAAGAATGTACGATATAATGTACAATAAATGTAGGATAATAGATGAGTTTCTAACCTATACAAGATTTTATAACATGTAGCATAGATATACAACTAATAAGAGATAGCACCTTGCTAAAAATAAGTATATAAGAAAGTTATGCTTTCAAATTTATAAGTGGTTTCGATCCAACATCATCTCAATAAAAATAAAGTATCAAAGGCAGAAATTGTATGGTAGAATTGCAGCAAGCCAGTCACACACTACTGACTTTAAAAAAAATACATAATAAGCATAACATATAACATAATATAGCATATGGAAAATGATCATTAGGGTTATCCAAAAAACAGGTGACTGTTTAAACAAACCATTTTTCTTTATCCTCAAGCATGGGAGCTGGTTCGATTGAAATCATGAACAAAACCTGTTATTAAAAGAACAATACAGTAAGTGAAAATGTAAAGCATCAAATACTCACTCTAAAGAGTGTTACCATGGTAAATTTAATTTACAACAACCAATTTATAGGCCAATTAGGGTGATTGCAAGCTTTTGGTTTATTGTTATTATGCAAATTTTAAACAAAATATGTATCGCTAAAATGGAGTTAAAATGACAATTTCAAAAATTTACATCAATTTAAAAAATAAAGGATTGTGATTATGGTTTTTAGTTTTAATCGGCATCTATTATTCCTCCATTACAAGTTTGAAATGCTTTGAAATCCAATTTGGATCCGTTTGTATAACTCATTTGCTATTGTTTTCTCCATCTTTCTCCCCCATTCACAATTCTCATCTTCTACCAGACAACCACCCTGCACTTCTGTCCCACGGTTGCTGCAGTGCCACTGATAGTGAAGTGAATTGGCATCTGTTTTACGAACAGAACTCAACTCTGAAGTCTTAGAACAAAGAGTGACAAACAAGCTTTAAAAAATGTAAGATTTTATACCTTGCAAGATTGATGATGTGCATCATGTAGCTGACTTATTTTTGAAAAAGGGGTGAGACTCCATGGACTGAGCATGAACATAGGAAGTGATACGGATACCAAGTTCCAAAGTCATTAATGACCATTGTGGGAGGCTTGGTACTAAGCTACTTTTCTCTACTACTTGCCAAATACAAATTGATGGGCAAACTGAGGTTGTAAATAAGACTTCAGGCACTTTGCTTAGGACTGTTTTTAAAGAAAACCCTCAAGTCATGATAAGAAAATTTGCCTCATGTAAAACTTACATTTAATAGGGTTGTCCATAGCTCCACTAATTGTTCAATATTTGAATTGTGTGTAGATTTAAAGTATGACACCAATTGATTTATTGCTTATGCAAAATATCTGTGTTTTTTATGCGTAAGGATGAGCATGCTATGGCCGATTATGTGACGAAGCTGCATGAGCACATGACAGCTTAAATTGAGAACAAAGTTCAGAGCTATGCCAAGCAAGCTATCAATGGAAGAAATAAATTTGTTTATAAACTTTGGGTTTGGATCCACATGAGGAAAGAGAGGTTCCCTAAAAAAAGGAAGTCCAAACTCCAACCTAGAGGGACAGTCCTTTCCATGTTTTGGAGAGGATCAATGACAATGCCTATAAAATTGATTTGCCAAATAAGTGTCACTTGAATGTTTATAACTTTTCTTTTTCTGCAGATGATGAAACTTTGAATTTGAGGACAAATTCTTCTCAAGCCAGAGGGTTTGAGGAACCTCTAACTAGAACTAAGGCTAGAATGCAAAGGAGGCTTTACAACAAGTGGTTGCAACAATTCTTAAAGATGTACAAATTGTGAATGACAGTCAAACCAAAATTAAGTCAATGCATGATTATAATTAAGCCCAATAACTAAGCAATAAAATTACCATTGAAAACCTAACAATGTTGATTTTTAAATGGTAACAATTTTTTTTAAAAATGCATAATTGTTGACTCTTGACTTTCCGTGTGCCATTAAGGAGATTATAAGCATTCAAATTTCAATTGATGTAAATGATTTTTGAGAGGTGTTTCTCCAAGGTTCTTGGACGAACAAAATTAAGGACTTATCGAGGGCTTTTTGACTCCCTCCAGACGTCTTCTAGGCTTATCTTCCACTATGAGAAGTGGTGCCTTCCACCTACTGTCAAATCCATAACCAGATTTGTGTAAGGATCTTATCCAATCTACATCCCAGTATTACCAAAGTATCTCCCTTAATATATCTAATAATGCAAATCATTACATTCCAATGATCAACATGAGGATCTTGCATAAACTTACTAACTACACCAACTACAAAAGAAACTTTAGGTCCACTTATAGTGAGGTAGATGAGTTTAGCAACCTAGTTTTAAGTATAATCTTTTGCCACCAAACTAGTTTTAAGACAATCTACTCTCCATTCGGTCCAACCTTTACAACACATACCCACCTACAACCAACTACCTTCTTCCCAAGAGGAAGGGCACCAAATCCCAATATCATTGTGTTCAATAGCCTACATCTCATCAATCACGTCATGAAGAATTATCAAGTTCTTCAGATATATTTTTGGGAATGGTAATGAAAGACAAATAGAACGGGGATTCTGAGTAGTTTTAATACTTTTCCAAAGAGCTATTGGCCAACTATAATTTTCATCATTGAGATTTGTTCTATGGGTGATTGATAGAGAATAGCATAAATCACTAGGCTCTTCATGCAATTGATGATCAATCCTTTGTGTCCTATGTTGATAAGTATTGAGAGAAGATGGTTCTGATAAATTGTCAATTGGAGAGTTATTTTGTAATTCTTAATTAGAAGACTCTTAAACCATAAACATCGGTGGATTGAAGGATGGGGTAGGTTAGGAGAATATAAGGAAGAAATAGGGAATCATTATCAGAAATGTGATAAGAAGCACCAAAGATATTCATGGACCTTGACTATACATAGATTGAGAAATGCAGGTTATTGAAACAATAAGAGCTTAAGCTGTCTGGGTTGACTGTAGGACATTAAGCAAAGATACTCCGGATATTCTTCAAAAAGGCTTTTGCTTAGATGTTTTTTACTTGGAAACATTTGTTGCCCTTTTAGGATAATCATGCAGGGAGTAGCAGGTTTCTTGAGTATGACCCATTCTCATACACTAAAAACACTAAGCACAACCACCTTTACCACTACACCTCCTCAATTGCCACGACCTCCTCCTCACAAGTTGAGGTCATTGTTGTTGACTTAGTAGAGCGAGTACCTCCAACCTTCATAAGAGTAGGAACATGCAGATGTCTTGTTATTAAATTTTGCATTGACAAAACCTCTTCACTGGTAAGAATATGATCACAAGGATGAACAAAATTTGGATTCAAACCTTGAATAACCAACACCATGTATAACTTGTCAAGTTTTTCTTTTTTTTTTCAACTCTTTTAATGAGTTAGTCTCCAGAAACATCTTGAACTCCTCAGTAGCTGATTGAGGTTGGGAAATATACAATATCATATCATGATCAATCTATTTGAGAGGCCAACTTCTGAGCTGAATCATACAAATGCTGAATGTCAATAGCAAAAATGCTTTGAGGTTTCTTCCAAAATGAGCAACATGGTTTGAAGTGTCTCCAATATATTTGTTCCCACTGTCTGCCACAACATTGCACACAATTGGAAGTCAAGTTTCTTCCATTGGGCATGCTCCATAGTGTCAAAGCGAGATCAAACCCACTGTGATATCAACTTGAAGATTTAGAGTTTCTGAAAATGCTTGAGTGGATGATTTCACTCAGCAGCAATATGCATATAAATTAGCAAAAAGAGTACACCAGAAGGATGATAGGACAAGTTCGGACTAGGACAACCTGTACCTGTATATAGACTTTTCAGACTACATGTAGTATAAATTATTGAGCTTGTATTGCAATATTTAATATAGCAGCCATCCTACTGTCCCATTATAGCATTTCAGTGTTTCCCACTACATGCCGCTGCTATCTGAGATCAATAACTATTCAGCCTTGTTGAGAATTCTAGAATATCTAGAACCTAGATCCTCTTTCATAACTTATTAATATTCCACAAAATAACTCTCACCATACAGTTACCAATATCACAATATCTGTAAAATCGCCTATCAAATACTCTTCCACTTATCTCAGTTAAACATTTGTTTCTCCTTCCGAAATCACCTATTCAAAAATCAAAATTAATCCTAACTGACTCTGTAAAACGTGAAACAGTAGATGAAATGTTAAATCATCCAAACATTTTATGAACATCAACATAAATTACCAGCTGAATATTACTTATGACGAGGAAGCAGGGGCAGAAGAGATCATATGTTATGAATAAAACAGTCAAGACCGAATATGTATTAAGTTACTAACCCTCATTGGATGTACGTCAGATCTTGGAGGAACACCCTGAAAATTATGGTAACAGGCTTTAAGCATCACTAAGCATGAGAACGAGTTATTTTTTTAATACAACATCTGAATGAAAACAAAGAATAATATAAAGATTTTATTCAATTGCATTAGAAACTGTAAATAACAGCCCACAAATAATGGCCAACCCATGTAAATATAGGAAATTTCTTCATAACACCTATAAACTTAAACTTCATGGAAGAAGGGAAAAAAGAGGAGGGGGTAAATTACCCAGATATCCAGAAGACTGATTGTAGTCATCCCTAACCTGCCTTAGTTGTGACCACTTTGGAGGGTGCCTTAATTGCAATCTCAAGGTGGAGGTTTAATCTGAAATCAACTAGTATGGCTAAAATAGAATACACAAGTGGGATGCAAACCCAAAAATATAAGATGGTATCAGAGCCTATCCTAGATCAATTGATGGCCCACCTGCATTTGCCATGCTCTAGGATTAAAGTCCAGGGCATGAAGGGAAATGTTGGAAATCCGACTTAATTGTGGTCACCCCTAGCCCACCTTAGTTGCAGCCTCTTTAGGGCTTGCCTTAATGACAACCTCAAGCATTGTGGTTTAATCCCATATCTACTAGTGATATGGCTAAAATGTATAGGTGGAGTGAAAACTTCCCCATACAAGATAGTTTTGTGAGGTTAAGATCAAACCCAAAAATTCTAAGACCACCTTACAGGCTTAGAGTCACCTCAGAAAGTGTTAATCAAATTGACAATACCTTGCAGAAGGTGGGAGCACAAAAAGGGAAAGAAAAAGGTCCACATTGATAAACTAAACAATTTACTCGGATGATGTAGAATTAAAAACGCAAGCAATGGATATACCTCAGCCATTTCAATAGCAGACACACCAAGAGCCCAAACATCTACCTGAAATCATATTTAAATAAAAGTAACCATATCAAAATACAGGTTTGTCCAATAATTTTAATCATACAATATAATATATTATAATTAGCACTACGCAATTTTCTAGACTCTGTTTAACAATGCATTGTGAATAGAATCAGTATTGAATAAAAATATTACAGATTCTAACTTAGCTTAGAAAATAACATAAAGGGTGTAGTTTTCTCTTAGTTAAGTTCTTTTTAAATATGTACCAGATAAATCACGAAGTCAATTGAACTAGAAAAGTTTTGAGGTTTTCTTGATCTTAATTCTCTCTGTTAACTTTACAACAATTCACATGCCTTCAATGTCATCATCATCTTTAACATCTTTCAATTCATAAAGCAGTATCAACTAGGCTTAACCAGCCCTTTTCATTAATTTATGACTGTTTAATCTTTCAGAGTGATCTGTTCTCAAGTGTTTCACTAGACTGCAGACACTACAATTGCAATATTTAAAAAATAAAATAAAATTGAAGACTAATATTTGAAACAAGTGATGAATTCTAATCATGATTCATATATAACAATTATTTCCTATTTACCAACGACATTACTAACCTCCAATCAAAACTTTGTGCATTCCTGTTTCTGATTATTTGAACCACTAGCATATGAAAAATATTGTCCCATTTCAATATAATTCCTTCATGCACTTCATTAATAAATAACTGTTTCAACGATTATCATGCATACAAAACATAAAGGTGGGACTTTCATGTTTTGAAGGAGGTCCACGAGGTTGCATGGGTATCTTGAAACCCACCAGTGTTAAATTATATTTTTTTGTCCAAATTTTAATAAAACTTATAAATGTAAATTTTTTTTTTGTCCAAACTTAAAATATAAATATATAAAAAGTATCGACTGGCAACACAGGACAACAACTTTTACTTATGTCCTAACCTTAGAACTATCTACAAAAGAAAAAGAAAGGGCAGATGGAAATAAAACATGGAGGAGATGCAGTACAGTGAAATAAAAAAATAATGCAAGCAAGTAAACAAGGCTCACAACTTTGGGAAAGCACAATACCTTTCCATCATAGCGACTTTCCTGAATAACTTCAGGAGCCATCCAATGAGGAGTTCCAATGAACTATAAGCACATTAAACTGTAAATCAAAAATCTTGCATGATAAAAAGAATGAATAACATATCCACTTAAGGAGCAGAAGACCATAATCCAAGTCAACTTGTTTTGAGCATGAGTGCATGTCAATTTCAAGAATTCTCAAGGCTATGTACAAGGTAAAAAACACCTCATTCAATTCAAATTTTTTGGGTAAAGACTTGGAATTAAAAGCATTTATCACTTTCAATAAGTAACTATAATGGGACTGGAGACAACTGAATAGTCAGAAAAAGTTGCAGAAACTAGGGCAGGGATTTGAATATGTCCCACAGTAGTGAATGTTAATCAGAAACAAGTGCCCCAAAAATCTGAGTAAGAAATGATAGAACGATTCATGGAATGTACACATGACAACAATCTCGAACTCAGTTTAAGATGCAATTTGATAAAAAGAACATACTTAACAAGGAACTTAATGGCACCCAAATTTTGCTTTAATTTAATATTGTTCCAAAATTGAAATAACGTGATGTAAGTGAAATAAATAAAAATCTTACATCTAAACCATAACTCGAGAATGTAAGCATTTAAAATCATGTTCCTACTACTCACTTCTCATTTCATATTTTGGCAGACAGAACAACATTCAAATAGTTGAAACTGATTTTATTATGAAAAGTCCCTTAGTTGTAGAGATTGAAATCAGTAACAGTTAGCACCTATTCTATCTGTGGAAACAAATCAAGTAACAAAAATAAAAGAATACAAATCACAATAACTACAAATAATAAGTTCTCGCATCAACTACCGTGTTCCGCTTTGACATGGTCCTCGTAAGCTGTGCAGCAACACCAAAATCCCCTGTTCAGTAAACCAAGAATTAAAGATAATTGAGCAAAACCTTAAGAGATGAAAAGGTAAATTGTATTTCTGAAAACTGATTACAAAGAAAGAGAATTAAGCAATTTATAGCTGTCTGAGAATCCTAACTGACAGGAACTTGGCGTATTATGGGGTACATAAGTCTCACATCAAATAGTATGGGATGCTCAGCGGAATATTTAATTACATGGTTCTTTCCCTTAATAGCTAACTTTTGGGGGTATTATGGGGTACCTAAGTCTCACATTGAATAGTATGTGATGCTCAGCGGAATATTTAATTACATGGTTCTTTCCCTTGATAGCTAGCTTTTGAGGGTGGGCTCCCCAGGTGCTTGACCTGTGTAAGGTTCTGACCAACAGGGAGTTGAGTGAAATGTCACTAAATGAAGTGTTGTAGAGTGAAAATTGCCGAGACGTCTGCTCATTAGGGGAGGTGTTCTGATAGAAACTTGGGAATTAAAGGGTGTCTAAGTCCTACATCAGATAGTATTGGAATGCTTGGTGAAGTATTAAAGTGCTTTGTTCTTCCCCCTTAATAACAAGCCTTGAGGGAGGGTGGGTTCCCCAAGTGCCCAGATATGTATCACTAACTTAGATAACACTAACTGAGAAACTATTTGAGTCTAACTAACAATTATGTAACAGCAAAACATTAACCATGCAAAATATGTATCAAGTGTCTACACTACTCTAATAACACTTTTTTAACCAGCCCGTTGTTACAAAGTTTAAGAATATTAATGCCTTAGATATGAAATCTAAGTTTCAATAAATGAGGAAAGGAAGAAAGCTGTTGAGACATGTTTTTTTGTCTATTATTACTTATTCTCTTTGTATGTTCCTTAGGCTAGGTTAAAGATTTGGGCTGAGGCCCATATCTTATTTATTGTATCCCTTTTGCTACAAATACAATTGTTTTTGTGCCTATGGACATTGTATTGAACCCTAAATAGTTTTTTTCAAGTTGGTATCAAAGCGGGTAACATCTCCACAGATTTCTGATCACCCCTATCATCTCCGACCACCATGGGCCACCGTCACCGTCGTCACCGCTGGCCACTGTCTCTATATGGTCCAATGAAGGTGGGGTTTTGTGCATCTCAAGGAACACGACCCACCCCTACAAATCGCTCCTCCATTTGCTGCCTCACGCGCGAATTCTCCAAGAGGTGCTCTCAGGCACGTATGTCCCACGCACCGCCTTCTAGTGGTCGGAATCAAGACCGATCATCACTAGTCAACTCGTCGGCGTCCTTCGAGTCCAATAGTGGCCTGACTTTTCTGTTTTTTAAACTTTGGGAGCTAGGTCTCGTGGGTGCTCCTATTGGTTAGTTTTATCTGTCATCCCTTTATCCTTTAGATGGATTCATCCAATGTTTTTTCCTTCTCTTCCACTCCCACCATAACCAATGCAAGACTCAACTGAAAAAATTATCTATCCTAGTTTGTTGAACTATGGTTTCTAGGTCAAGAGTATCATGACCATCTGGAGAAGGATGTAAACTCTATTTCTGACACAAAAAGGTCTCAATAGGAGAAAATAAACTTCCAATTTTGTGCAATCGTATGACAGTATGTCGAACCTGAAGTTCTTGACTTTCTCAAGTCATTCAAAACTTGTTCTTCATTTTGGAAAAAGGCTCAAGATATTTTTGCTATTGATATTCAGCGTCTCTTTGATGCAACTCAAAGAGTGACATCTCTCAAGCAAACAAATCATGACATGATGTCCTCACATTGTAAAAGCTAGGACTGCTGTGGAGGAACTAAAAAAGTTTCTTGTGGCAAATACCTTATAGGAGTTAAACTCAAAATTGGATAAGCTGTATATGGTTCTAATTTTGAGAAGTTTGCATTATGGATCATGTACGTGATCAAATCTTAGTTGGCGATTAGGTTCCATCAATAGACAATCTTGTCATGAGGCTGATTAGAGTTCCAAATTTTATGACAAATGAGAATTAAGTGGAGATAGTTGAAACTTCAGCTACGGTTACTCCTCGTGGTCGAGAGGGAGGACGCAACAGTCGAGGAGAACATGGTAGTACAAAGTTCGTCTACAATGCTCCTATTGCAAGAAGATGGGACACATGCAGAAAAACTGCTATTCCTTACACGGTTTTTTTGACAAAAATATTACTACCCATGTCTCTAAATCTGAAAAACTGGATTTGGAGATCTCTGATGAGGAGTATCAGGAGTTTTTGAAGTTCAAATCTAGAAAAATCAGCAACTAAGGTCAATCTTCTTCAATGCTAAGTGTTTCAACAACATGCATTTCTCAATCTGTGGAAGATGAGAACCCATGGATTCTTGATTCAGGTGACTCTTATCCTATATTTAATAATAATTCCTCATTTTTCTTCATGTCCTATCTTAAAATTCCTCACTTGATTACTATGGCTAATGGATCTAACGTGAAGTCTCAAGGAGTTGGCCAAGTTCCTTTAACCCCTTCTCCAAATTTAGATTCTATTTTATTAATTCCTAATTGCCCTTATAACTTGATTTCTCTAAGTCAATTGACCCTTTCTTTGAATTGTGTTGTAACTTTTAATTCTCATTCTTTAGTTATTCAGGAACATGGTATGGGTCGTTTGATTGGAGAAGGACATCATGAATCACGTGGTCTATACTATCTAAATTAAGGTCCTTCGGTGTCATGTCTTGCTTCTCCTGCTCCTAAACTTTTGCATGATCGTCTGCGTCACTCAAGTTTATCTAAGTTGAAAGTGATGATTCTTAATCTCAAACATCTTTGGGTTCTATAATGTGAATTTTGTCTATTAGACAAACATGTTAGATATACTTTTCCTAATCAGTCTGACACTTGATATAATTTTCTTTTTTCAAATATTCATTATGATATTTAGGGACCGAATCGTGTCTCTTTATTTGACTTTCGATATTTAATAACATTTATTGATGAATTTTTCATATGTATTGGTTTATTTAATGAAAGACAAATCTAAACTTTTATCCATTTTTGTGTCCTTTCTCAATGAAATTAAAATCAATTTGGGAAGATAATTAAAGTTCTTAGAAGTGATAATGCCAAAGAATATTTTTCTGGCTCCTTCTCTTCTTTGTTATCTTTCCAATGAATTTTACATCAATCAACTTGTCCTCACACCTCACAGTAAAATGGTATAGCATAAAGAAAAAATAAACACCTTATTGCTATTGCACACTCTCTAATATCGAATGTCAATGTCCCTGTTCATCATTAGGGAGATGCAATTCTCCCTGCTTGTTTTTTTATTAATCGAATGCCATCTTCTCTTAAAAATCAAATTTCGCATTCCTTTATCTTTCCAAATGATCCTTTTTATCACGTCTCTCCTCGTTTATTTGGTTGTACATATTTTGTACATAATGTCTCTCTAGGTCTTGATAAGCTAATGTCATCTTCTCTTAAAAATCAAATTTCGTATTCCTTTATCTTTCCAAATGATCCTCTTTATCATGTCTCTCCAGGTCTTGATAAGCTAAATGTTAAGGCCATTAAATGTGTTTTTTTGGGATACTCTTGCCTCCAAAAAGATACAAATATTATTCTCAATCCACCAAAAGGTATTAAATGTCTATTGATGTCACCTTCTTTGAAGAGACACCCTTCTTTTCTTTCCCTGTGAAGGATATTTCTTCTACTCAGCATGTTCTCCCTATTCCTTCATGTGATTCACTTATAATTCCTGATTATTCTTCAATTCAACCTATAGGTCATACTGATTCTCCTCCTTTTCTCACATATCACCGCAAGATTCCTCCTACACTTTTACCAATCTCAGCAGATAATCATGATTAAGAACCTTCTCTGCTTCTCATACCATGGATCTTTCAACTTTCTCTCCCACTTCTGATTTTAAATAGCCTATTGCACTCAGAAAAGGTATTCGTTCCACTTGGAATCCCTTTCCTATTTATAATTTTTTTAAGTTATCATCGTCTATCTCCCTCATATTCTTCTTTTGTTGTCTCTTTGGACGATACTTCTATTCCTAAATATTGTTCATGAGGCTCTTGATCACCCTGGATGATGACAAACCATGATTGATGAAATGCAGGTTCTTGAGCACAATGACACTTGGGAGTTTGTCCCTCTTCGTCGTAGCAAAAAGGCTATGGATTTATGCAGTTAAGGTTGATAATGATAAGGTGGATCGTCTCAAAGTTTGTTTAGTGGCTAAAAGCTACTGTGATACCTTCTTCAGTAGCTAAGATTTTCATTATTCGTCTTTTCCTTGCTATGGCTGCTATTCGTCATTGGCCCCTTCACCAACTAGACATTAAAAATGTCTTTCTCCATGGTGACCTTGACGAAGAGATTTATATAGAGCAACCTCTTGCCTTTGTTGCTCAGGGGGAGTCTGATTTAGTGTGTAAGTTACACCGGTCTCTTTACAGCTTGAAGCAGTCATCCTGAGCTTGGTTTGGAAAGTTCAGTCATGTTGTGCAATTATTTGATTTAGAAAGGAGTGAAACAGACCACTCAGTGTTTTATTGTCATTCTTCTTCAGACAAGTGTGTTTATTTTATGGTTTATCTGGAAAATTAGATTAACTGAAATATGATTTTTATTAATTTAATACAAAGAGATGATATAAGATATATACAGGAAACCTAAGCTATTTTAAGAAATATAATAACTCTATTTTATGCTAAGATCCCTTGATTTATGGGATTGTTCCTAATTATTCAAATCTGTACAGATTACAAGGAAATATACAAATTTCCTAATTTATTCTTTCTTAAAATACTATTTGATTTCCCACACTCCCCCTCAAGCTGGTGAATAGATGTTTTCCATTCCCAGCTTGGATACAATCTTCTCAAAATTATGGCAGCCTAGTCCTTTGGTAAGAATGTCTGCAATTTGGTCTTGAGAGGACACATATGGAGTTCATATCAAGCCACTATCAAGCTTTTCTTTGATGAAGTGTCTGTCTACTTCAATATGCTTTGTTCTATCATGCT